TTTTTGCACTTTGCAGAATGTACAGTTTCCGTGATTCAGAGTATTGAAATTACTACTATTTGGTAGCTAGTCACACAGTAAAAAGTGGTTTCAACTCTTTCTATAAACAATGGTGGCTCATATCAGCTGTTACTTAGGGATATGTTAACAACTATCAGCTTACTTCTGAATATTTGTATTTAGGAGTCCAAAATTAGTGTTCACATTCAAGGTTGATGAGGCCAAACTTGGACCAGAAAAAGTTAAGGAGAACAGATTATGTATGACCAGTAAGCTGAAAGTCATTCATATGAAGATGATAGATACCGAAAGCATCAGGTAAAGAAACAGGACAGTTAGGCAATCATTCTTAAAGTTATATTTACTAAATAATTTGAGCCTGATTCACCATTACATTCTGCAGTACATAATTGCTCATGTTTCCAGGTTCACATGTCTTATCATCAAGAGAGAGTAAATAATAGATTCAAACAAGATCTGAAATCAAGTTCTGTGTTGGAAAACATTCAATATCTTTCCAGCCTCATCTAAACATTTCCCTCTCAAGATAACTTTCCTACTTGTTCACAGAAGTTTTCAAATATTTAATTCCAAATCAAATCTGGAATGCTTATGCTTTTGAAAGTGTTTTCTTTGAGGGGAAAGGGGAGGGAAGGGAGAAAAAAAAGAGAAGCCTGAAACTGGTGTAAGGATCCCTGCTTTGAAACAAGGTGAAAGTCAACAGAGCACAGTTAGCTCAAGAGTCAAAATCTGTTGAAAATGAAGGGGGAGAGATCAAGCAAAATGTGTAAGTATTGGCTCCGTAGGAGGTCTCTGCAATGCCATAGTCCCAGGTAGCACCACACACCGGAAAGATAAGTCATCCCATAAAATCTGTAACTTCCACACCATAATTGCCCTGGCATCTCTGGGTGGGCCCATCGTCTTCCCAGTTCACTGTGCAAAGGAACTGAAACCCTTGTTGTAGGGCACCCCTGAAGGTGCCTGTGCCCTTCTTCCCCCTCCAAAGGGAAAGGGGATTTGTACTAGACCCTTCTTGAGGGTTTGCCGTCACATACAAAGAAGTGCTAGTCTTTCTTCTGCTTTATTGCCTGGATATTTGGGGACAGCAAAATCCTCCAGATCACACAGCAGGCTGGGTATTTTTTCAAACCATATGCAAAAGGAGCCCATAGTCTGACTTCCTTCCTAGGCTTCTTCATTCCTCTGACCTCTGGACAAGCCACGCCAGCAGAAAAGCGTATTACCCACGTAATATGGTCAGGACAGTTGTCTGGCAGTCATGCAATCCCTTTCTCCAGCAAAGCCCTCCTCCCGCCAGCTTGCCCTCACAAGCACGTGGTCTTAGATACCTTCTCCCAGCCACAAGACCCTGCTTATGCTCCAGTCACACAGTCCCTGCTCTTCTCAGGGCCAGGTCCCTCCCTGCAGGGGTGGCAGCTGGTCCCATCAAGCTCCCAGTTTGGAGAGCATGGGTACCCTCGCCCTCCTTGAGAGGCAAGGGTTTAATCTCGACTCCCGGCATCCACCGAGCCTCTTCCTGCCCATTTAGAACCCTGCTGTACCCCCATCTCCCCAGCCCATCTCCCACCTCTTCTGTTCTGTGCTCTGGGACCCAAGGAGCCGATATTCCTTTAGGCGAGCACTGCAGTGGTCCTGCTTCTCCCTACTCAAGTGCTGCTGACCCATCGTCCTTCACTGAGGGCTGAAAGTGCCCATAACAAACCACTCCAGCCAAACTGGAGAGGTTACAGGCACTCTCAACTGATTTCACGAGCCACAGAGGGCAGGTCCCCACATCCCACACAGGTGGCAGAAGCCAGATAGGAGGACGGCCAACACCAGCACGGCCCTGCCGCAGGGGACATGATGGCCAGCCCAAAGGAAGGCAAGAGAGGTCAGAGCTGCTCTCACTCAGCACCGTGGAGCCCACATCACCTTTGCTCAGCAGAGACCTCAGAAAGGAGGCAGAGCATTCCCACAACCTGCCCGATAGCCCGGGTAAGTTGTTACAGCTTTCCCAGATAGTCTCACTGCACAAGCCTGGGGGATTTAAAAGCAAACTCTGCCAGCTGGAGCAGGGTATTTAATGAGCCAGCTATGAGGAGGAGAGAAGACGACACTGAGGATTTACAGGTGAAACGCATGTTTTGATTTAAAGGTGTGAATACAGAGGCGAGGCAAAGTGGAGTGAGATGAGGAAAGGGTTAAAGGATGATGGAAGCATGGAACAAATTAAACTTATCTGAGTTGCATGTAATACATTAAATCCACATACTCTTTCTGCATGAAGACATCTCCCTGAATTTTAAATGATAAGGGAAGGAGGGCTCACATCTTCATCCCTAAATGTATCACTTGCATCAATTGAATCTGAGCCAGTGGAAGAGTCAAACACTGCAAGCCAAATCCTATTTAATTTATTCAGCAACACATCTGTGTGAAATATAGTCCAATTACAGGTATTGGGTTACTTTGCCATGGCTGCAGCCATTTGGCTTTTATTTCCAGCAGGCTCTAATTAAATTATCACAATGCAGGAGCAGACAAGTTTCTCTTATACGTGACTGCAATTAAAGACATGGAATCACAACATTTTTTAAAGTGATTCCAATCAATTGGTTACAGGAAAGAATACCATGAGATAGAGCATAATTCCGCTGTTAAGACTGAAAGAGGGTTTCTATTTCAATAATCTAGTTCCCTTTTATTACAAGTTCTGCTCTTGGATAATTTATTTAAAGTTCATTATGTGTCTACGGCATATATCATTTGCCCTCAGCTTGGGCTACAGAAGTCCCATTATGGCCAATTACTTAGTGTGATAAAATCTGCCACAGTACAAACTATTCCTTAATTAGATTTAAGTTTGTCTAAATTCTATTTGTAATTCAGACAGCAAAATAATAAGGCCAACAGCAAAGACTTGCTGTCTCCTTTCTTTGGTCCCTGTGGTAACCTGTTAGGTTAGATGTAATCTTAGGGCAGCTCAGAACCTAGACTCCCCACACCCATCTACTTTTCTTGCAATACTTGTCCCCACTTAGAATCATAGAATGATTTGAGTTGGAAGGAACCTTAAAGGTCATTTAGTTCCAACCCCTGTGCCACAGGCAGGGACGCCTTCCCCTAGATCAAGTTGCTCAAAGCCTCACTGGGCAACCTCTTCCAGTGTTTCACAACCACTTTGCATTTCCATAACCAGCTCTGGGCTCAGGGGTGGCCTGGACTGTGAGGGAGTCCCACATTCCCCAACTTAAATCCAGCCCTATCGGATAGCACTGATAGCAAAGGGTACACCTCCAAAAGTACCTGAGAGCGTGCAGCTGCGCGTTTTTTGACCATCATAGATATTTGCTCTACAGCTCCCGTAGGTTTGCTGCAGCAGCACGCTCGTAGGCGGGAAAAAAGCTACTGACAAAATGACAGTCCTACAAAACCACGAAGAAAGTGATGTGGCGAGCAGCACCGAGCTGCTAGATAGCTGTGCACCGTAAATGCAGCCATGTGCACAGCCCCAGTGCTTCCAGCGGCAGACAGCATGCCGCAACCTGCTGCTGCGGGATGGGGCCTTTGCTATTCATCCGGTTAACCATTAGCCATAACAGATGCTTCAAGTTTGTTTGGGAATGATGGTATTGCTGCATTGCTTCTTATTTGAATTAGAGCCACTGGATTTATCCAAACCATCCTCTGCACCATCCTCCCCCATGAGAAGAGGTTTGAAGCTGGTTTTGCTCTTTAAAAACAAAAGCCGGTGTTTGGTATGTGTCTCCTCAAGATCCAGCTTCAGTTTTCAAAGTGTTTTAAATATGTTTGAACCAAATGTTCTGCACAAATTTGAACTCAAATCCTGCAACCTGCCTCTGTGAGATCTCACAAGTAAGTGAGAGTAGAAGCTACATCAAGAAAATGCAAAGTGGAACAAGAAATAGACGCGATGATTCAGTGGGATCCGTTTTAACAGATCCAGGCCACAGTAATTTGAGGATGGGTATCATCCTGTAAGAAGTTGCATTCCTCTGGAAAAAATTATGCTAGAGATGTATTCATTTTTTTCCATCAAAACATTTACTCCACTTTAAAAGAAAGAAGGCATTCACACAAATGGAGTTACTGGATGACCTGTTAGCAGTCATTTACGATGTGCTTCAGTGGCCCTGTATTTTCTGTTGTACCCAACTGTCTTTACTTTCCTTCAATCCCACTCAAGTTCCATATTGTATCTTGCAAATGGCTGCTTTACAAAGTTGGATGAATTTATTCTGATGTTTCAGAAAACTTCTATCTAAGACTAATGTCAAAGCAATACACCATTTAAAAATTTTACAGGGTTAGAAATTTACATAGCAGCTAATGACAAGCCTAAAAATAACCTGTTTCTTTGGAACATCAATCTTGTTAATGAACTAAAAGAATGAAATATTCCTCTATCAGTTGTTTCCAGGGAGCAGGAAGAAAAATGTTGTGCAACTCCAGTATCAAAAAGAATATGAAAACATTTCAGCATCCACCCTGTTTTCCACTTAGTTAACAAGGCTGCAAGTAGCTTTTATGGAGCAGATGCATTCTGGACATTCCTCTCTATTTTTGATTGGTAGCACAACATGACTAGTCTATCCTTCAGCTCCACTTGACCCCTGTTGAGAGAAGACAGTGAATTTTATATACCAGGGGACACACATCACACGCTGTGCGTCTGAGAACCCCTTATATTACAGCTTCATTGTGTCTGGACAGACCCTTCCCTGAAAATATGTATTTTAAAATAAAATTGTATCTATCTTCATACAGACATGATAAAAGGCCTCTAGATCAGGATCAATTCTCCTCAAAGCAGCAAGACCTTTCCTTATTCAATAATGGCACCATAATAGTGACACTGATGGGAAGTTGAAAGCAAAGACATGGATATTAGTTGTTTTTAACTGACTGGAGAAGGTCTTATCTGTCAGTGAACACTAAACATTTCTCTCTTCTTTAAGTGCTAAGCAAAAAACATGGGCATAAAAAAGGACAACTTAGCCAACACCATCACCTGGCAAGACACTGAAGGTGATTTTCCCAACTCCACTGATGTGGAAGTCGGTCTGAAGACTTTGTACCTCCCCATTATGTACACCATCTTCTCCCTTGTGGGCTTCCCAGGAAACATCATTGCAATTTGTGTTTACAACTTCAAGATGAGGCCTTGGAAGAGCATCATCATCATCATGCTGAACCTGGAGCTCATGAACCTGCTCTACCTCACCAGCCTTCCCTTCCTGATACTCTACTACACCAGCGGTGAGCACTGAATCTTTGGCGAATTCATGTGCAAGTTCATCCTCTTCGGCTTCCACTTCAACTTGTACAGTAGTATCCTTTTCCTCACCTGCTTCAGCATTTTCTGCTACTTGGTGGTTGTCCACCCTATGAAGTTCTTCCATGTCCAGAGGAAGTGGTGGACAGTGGTGGCTTGCGCAGCCCTTTGGGTGATCTCACTGACAGCTGTCAGCCTCGTCAAATTCTTGATCTCCTCAAAAGAGGCACAAAACAGATCCTTATGCCTTGACTTTACCAATTCTGAAAACCTGGGTGCCATCAGGTGGTACAACTGGCTACAGATGGCCTGGCCGCCTTCTTGCACTTGCTGACGGTGACTCTGTGCTATGCGCTCATTATTTACACCTTGGCTACCAGGACCCACACGTGGACTTGCTACAAGCAAAAGGCTCACAGACTTGCTGTCATCCTCTTGGTGGTCTTCTGTGTGTGCTTCCTCCCCTTCCACAACTTTTGGGCAGCTCAGGTTGAACTACAGTTATGTGCAGTGAGCTGTCACATGGAGAAACAAATCCACTCTGCCTATATCATCTCTCGGCCACTGGCTGCACTCAGCACATGTGGCAACCTGCTACTTTATATCATGATCGGAGGTAACTTCTAGCAGGCCATCATCTGTCTTTCAGGCTGTAAGTGAACCAAATAGGTCGAGCAGCCCTGGAGCAACAATTATGTTATCAAGTCAGAACTCGCATTACAGTTATGAAGGAATCTCAGCAAACCTGGGATGGCTTTGGTGCCGTAAGCTCCTGCGAAGGCAGGTGTGTTGATATGGTAGCAAGAATTGCAGCTGGCTTCTCCCTCTCTCTGCACTGGAGCACTTGTCAAAAAGCTGTCTCAGGAGCAGGTTTATATATACCTTGCTTAGCAACCAAGGACAGGGGAGTGAAAAGAAAACATTGTAAGCCACCTCGAAGGTGGAAATCAAAACCACCTGACCAGACTGTTTCCAAAGACATTGGGGAAGCACAGGGCGCTCTCACTCTGGGCTTTTCAGTTGATTACAGAAACACAGAGAGTTTAGTTTGGACTTTAGAACAACTTCCATTGATTTCAGTGTTGTCACTGATGTAGCACTTAGCTTGTTACAGCCCAAGCGAAATGCAGCAGATGTTGTCACGGTTGCTGAAATCACTGAATTACATACTTAGAAAACACCTAGATAAATCTGACGTTTTCAAATGAGATGGATCTGATAAACTTAAGCATAGGGCACTGAGGACCTGAATGGTGAAATCTCAGAGCTGGCCTAGGGAAGGATGAAAGGAGTACCAGAGGAGGACTTACATGGTGAATACAAGGAGATATACAGAGATAGATATATACATATCTATAAGATATATATATGTATAAGAGGAGATATATATATATATGTTAAAAATGGAGGAACAAGGAATTAACAGTCACATTAATGTTCATCTCAGAAAAATACTGAAACAAACAATCAGATGACAAGTCTACAGAAGATGGATATACGTGAATATCAGCCAGTATGGATCTAACAGCAATGTACAATCCCAGATCATTCTGATTTCCTACTACAACAAATTAACAGGCTCGTACGTGAAGAAAAAGAAGATGATGTTATATACCTTGGCTCCAGAAGGAGTTTTGACACTGTCTGAGATGACACTCTTGTGTGTAAGCTAAGGAAACGGTCTGGAGGACACTCTTTTTGCTGGTTACAAAGCTGTGCTCAAGAGTGGAGATATTAGTGATTTACTATCAGACTAGCAGGAGCCACTGAGTGGGGATTTGACCAGCCTGTCCTGAGTTTAGGGATATTTAGTGTTTTCATTAACAAATTGGATGATGAAATAAAGTCTGTTTTTTATATTTGCAGATGATGTGGCTGAGAGGAAAAAATCACGTTGACAAATTGCAACTATGGTCGGAAAACATACTGGATGCTATTAGACAGTGACACATGCAAAGTACTATGTTTAACTAGAAACAATGAACTGTAAAAATGCAAAAAGAGAAAAAAAAATTAGATAGCAGTTTGGCAGACGAAGATCTGGAGTTACGACAGCTCACAGGCTGGACAGGAGCTGACAGTTTCAGTGGGCTGACAGTGTCTGCTGTGGCAAAAAATGCAGATGCCATGCTGGGATGCATGAATAAGAACATAATGTGTGAGATTTGTGTAGAGCCCTTATACCCTATGCAGCCTTGTTACCCTCTCAGCTGGTGCACATTGCTGCCCTTCAGGGGAACATAGATAAGAGGAGCATGACAAGAGCACCCAGAGAAATGACCAAAGGGGAAGGAACCAGACAGAAAACCAAACGGTCTTAAAACCCCTCAAGGGTGGATATCAGGACGGACCTTCTCTCAGGATGGGTAATGAAGCACTGGAAAGGACAGAAAGAGTCTCCACTGCTGGATGTCCCTAGGAGAAAGAGGCAAACAAGCCTGCCTGACTTCCAGAGGTCCCTTTTGGCCATGAGGCTCTGCAATTAGGCTAGTGCCTAGTGCTAGTGAAACAAGTGGTGCCCAGGAGCATCCCTGGTGCCAGAGCTTGTCCCACCATGCTGTCACCATGCTGGGGGAGCGTCAGGCAGGCAGCTGTCCGGCAGCAACCAGCATGCTGCTGGCAAAGCCTGGGCACCCACTTCAGGCTGGCACCTCGCCTTGCAGACAGCCCATACATACGCAGCGCTGTGCAGGTACCACACCTACATAGGACAAACGATGACATAGCAGTGTTTTAATGTGCCTTGAGAATGTTTGAAATACTTTATTCTGTACAGACTCAGCCATCAGATGCATCTTTTCGAAGCGGTGCCACAGGCCTTTTCACCTGTTGTTTTCTATTTTAGTTTATCATCTTCTGTAGAGTTGTCAAAGTCTGAATTTTACAGGTTACCACTAGATGGTGATCATTCATGGTCAAGCTACCTGGTTTCACACACGCATGTTTGATTCAAATCCACGAGTTACACAAATGCACAAGGCAATTCACACACATAAAAATATTTTTCTGACCTAGATTCGTAACATCGCAGCTCTCCAACATGGGCAAAAAGTACAAACGAACTGCATAAACTCTCTTCCTCTTCCACGTAAGTGAAAGCAGAAGATGTGTCTACGACTTACACATACACATCTGAAGGAATGGATTAAAAATTATCTTTTTTTCCTCTCTCAGAACATTTTTAATTCTTGTTCTCAGAAGCTTTTCCTTCTCAAGCCCAAGCCGAGCTTATCACACACGAACAGAAGCTTTTAAAATTTAACTACACGTACAATATAAAATGGAGCAGCTGAAGGTAAAAAGTGTGAAATGGAAGAGTTCAAGGCTTTCCATCTCTGACAGCAAGAGTGACAGTCCCACAGTTTCAGTGACTTGGAGAGGGGCTATCTTTTTGCCTACTCCTCTGTTTCCTTAGCTGTTGTTTGGTTGCCTTCTTCCTATCTCACCTGCTCATCCACCACCTCTCTTCATTCAGTTTGGGCTAAACTAACTGATTTTAAAGTGCCAAAGTAGATTAGGGAATGCTCCTGGGAGCCATAGTTTGCTAGTGGTGCAAGAACCTCCAGAAGGGCATTCAGATCTTCCAGTAGCATGGCTGGTTCTGGAAAAAGAAAAAAAGTTCAACTGCTAATGCAGGCATTTTTAAAGCATTTGAGGACTGCCCAGGTGCTCTGCAGGACTGACAGATCATTATCTCATGTGACTCATTCCTTTTGCTTACTGAGAAGGGTGACATCTCGATAACTTCTATTTTTAGCAGCTGTTGAGCCTATTGCTGAAACAAGGATAAGTGCTTCAATTGCGGTAAACAAGAGGCACTTTCCAAGCTCTGTATACAGTGTGACAACACAGCTACATAAATTACTACACTATTGCAGACTAATTCACAGGATAGTTGTGCTTCAGTAACCAGGCTTCTGTCAAAAGTCTCTAGTATGTGTGCAGAGATGGTCAGTCATGTCAACTGAAGTACCTACCAGCAAGCTGCTCTCTGCCTGGGACCACGGAAGGACCAAGAGAATAACTTTGCCACGTAAACAGGGTTCACATCTCTCGAGAGGTTGTCAACTGTGATGATACTAAAGAGGAAATTTGAGAATTGCTGACTGCTTTTGTAGACATGTCAAACCTTATTTCTAACCTGACTGCATCTATCTGCCTTTCAAGCAAGTCTGTGTCATACCAAACGCTTGAGTGTGTGAAGCAGAGTGCATGTAGGATCAAAATGAATGGCATGGTAAACAGTTAGTAGAGAGAAAAGCTAAAATAGCTTAAGAATGGTCTACTTTAACCAGCTCTGTGTTGGGTATTGATGTGAGATAAGGCTGCAATTTTATCCCGATGAAAGGATATGCGCCATTGGGATGCTGTGGCATTAGCTGTACAGTGTAACAGTATGGTAGTGATCCGCCACGTGAAGCGGAGGGTAGTGCCAGCCTTATCACTGAGTCATTTAGAGCTCAGATAGGTGTTGTCATTTTGCTGACAAGGCTAAGCGAGGAGAGCAAACATTGAATGACTGCTTCCATCTGTCCCTATTTTGTACTCTGAAAATGCAAGTTGAGTGAACCTAAACTTTAAAGCAGCAAACAACAACCGAACACGTCGCTATTCAACTCCTACCAGCTCCAAACTGTATTTGCCTTTCCCTGCCAGCAGAAAAGGAGAAGAGATGTAAAGGAAAACACTTTGTGTGTTCCCTCACAGCTCCCTTGTGTTTTGTGACAGTAGAGGCATTCAGTGGTGCTAGCTGGTGCCACTTCAATGTAAAGGCCACGCAGTCTAGGAGGGCAAAGTTTACCCTAAAGAAAGTGTATTTCAAGGTCTGATTTCTGAATAGTGACCGGGAAAAGGCAGTACTTTTGACTGAGATGTCTTGCTGATTTGGTACCTGAGCTTACTGGGTGCTGCGGTGGAGAGCAGAGTGAGTTGGACATCTTCTAAAGCAGGAGAAAAAGATATGTTCCTGCTTTGAGTCAGAGGTGGACTCTGGGACCCAGAAGGAGAAAAAGTAAAGTTGGTAAACAGTGAGCTGAGAGTCTTTCCAAAATAAAATTTAAAGCTCAAACGCTGATTTTTTAAAACACACAGAGAGAACATGATTTTTCAGGGCTGCTACAGGCAAGTGTAATGCAGAGTATGTTCGATTCATCATTGCTAGAACTTAAAAGGCATCTGAATTAAAAGGTGTTTTATCTTCTAAGATGTTTTCTTGGTTTCTTTGCTCCTTAGAATGGTTGATATCTCTGATTTCTAAACCAAAAGAGAGGTAGATGTCTGGAAGCTATAGAACCAGTAATGCTCTCCACTCTTACAAGGAAAACAAAATTCTGAGCTTCTGTTTTTTTTTAAAAAAGGGAAAGACGTGTTTTTCCAAATTACTTTATGGATTTCCTTTTACTTTGTAAAATAGTGAAAGAAGATATGGCGAAGAAGAAAGAAATACAACTTTTTGCACAGACAGACAATGCCATACTGAATCCTAATAAAGCAAGGTAGAAATTCTAGTTCCTAGAGACATCTTTCTTCGCTTGTTTTCATTAAATATGGTTGTATTTCCAGCATGCTCCCTGCTACCCAACTAGCAAATCTGATGCCAGGTTACTTGATCCTTCCCTCTTCCTTCGCTGTCTCTAGCCTGTTGCTCAAGACCCATCATT